GGAACCTACTAGCACTAAGTTGCTAACTGGTTAGCAAGATGCTTGCGACAAACCGGCCACAACCATTGGAACAACCGCTTCCCGACTTTAATGATAAACCGCAAAAGATTACTTTTTTTAGCAGATGCATCATGTCAACAGATACCTTTTTAAACACAGTTTATTTTGTCAGTTAGAAACAATTCCTATATACATCACATGACTTTCTTGAAACGACACAAGTACCGATGAAGTGTTTTGCTCAATGGGCTCGACGCATGCACCGACGCATGCACCGATGCTGGACCCATAACTACCTCGAACTAAACGCTAATTCTGACATTTTGAATTGGGAAAAAGCTTCCTCGATGGGAAGCGAAACATCTTCAAACTAGGAAACTAAGTCCGGTGGAATTTTTTTTTTTTTACTTCTTAGGAATGAAAATCATGAAATATCAATTAGAATAGAATAGAATAGAATAGAATAGAATAGAATAGAGTATATGATGTGTACTACAGATCTAGGTCCAGAATCCTCTTCCAGATTTTTGCATCTCGTTCAAAAGATCATGATATTCTAAATAAATCATAAAAATGCAATTGGCCATTATCTTTTTGATTTTTTTTTTTTTTTTTTTTTTTACTAAGATTTGTTGTATTTTGCCACAGACAATAATAACATTTCACTTTAATACTTTCACTTCAGGTAATTATTCTTAGGAGAATTTTATGTCCAAATGTTTAAGACAGTCGTGGGCTTTGGATGTTTGGAGTTTCGTTCTTGCAGCAAATAAATCTAAATTAATTTCATTCCTCTAAGTGTCGACTTTTTTTTTCTTTTTACAAATATGGGGGTGTTAACCGAACATATGATAAAAAAGGATTATTTTATTTTTGATGGTATAAAACTTTTCCACCAGCCTGATGGTCGGCTATCAGAGGGCCCAGTAGGATATCTTTTCAGGGGACCTAAAGTTCCTGGCACCGCCCCTGTTCGTACCACTACTCACGTTTTTAAGGCTAGGCTTAAAACCCATTTATTCAGATTGGCTTTTAACATTCATTAAGATTTAATCATCTTTCCGTTTTTATATTGTTTTTGTTTGTTTTTTCATCCCGTTTCCATAAAGTTGATTTTTTTATACAGCACTTTTTCACTTTTATTTCAAACTTACTGTGTGTGTCTGTAGAGAAGAAGAGGAGCAGCAGATAGCCCTGCAGATAAAAGAGCTGAACCAGAGAATCCACAGAGAGAAGAAGAGAGGCGCCAAGCTGGAACAGATGATTCAGCTTCATCTTAAACTGAGCTCAGAGGACAAAGTAAGGAAGACTGATATATGCAATTAACCCTATTCGTATTAAATGATTACATCCAGACTGCAGCTCACTAGTGCATATTTCAGAGTAATAGTGCCGTGCAGCATGAAGATATTCTTTTTAAATGACTTCAGTAAAACTACTGAATGAACTCCTTCAGTTAAGTAAAAGTAAAAAACACAAGTTCCTTTATATGTTTAAATGTACAAATAAAATAGATTTAGCCTTGATACAAAATTGTTCTAAATTAAAATTTCAGGTAGGATAACATAGATTGAACTGAACAGGAATCAAAGCATTAAAGCATCAAATGGCATTCCAATTAAAACTTTTAGAACTTATAACGTCAACATCTTAATTTTTATTTAATAAAGGGATGCAATATGGGATGAAATTAAACGCTTGATATTAGAACAAAGACTGTTTATTAAGGATAGTACAACATAGAGAAATTGTATGTTAATATAAAACACAAATATAGATTTAAGTACTAAATTTGACATAGGAAAAAGTAGTTTTCCATCTGGATATAGTCTTTAATGTTTACACGTACACTCCATTTTCTATTTCATTTTTATTACAAGTATATGGTTTACAACGGTTTTCAATCGGATGAGAACATTTGGACAAGGTGAAACAATGAGACATTTTTTTAAGGAATGTGTTGAAATGAACAAGGAGCTGTTGGCTGTCAGAGAAAGGAGTAGACACTGCTGTCAGCGACACGACCGCTCGTGTTTTATGTGTTTTTTAATCAGTTTCACTGGTGATATTCTGCTATAACATGTGAAGGGAAGAATAAAACAGAAAAGCTCATCTTTCATAAACATAAAACCTTTCAAATTTCACGTTCAGTACATTGGAATTGAGGCAGAATGAAGTCAGTCAGCTCTTTCTACTGCAGGTGCGCTCCCGACCAGGGGAAATAAATTTTCGCAGCAATAACTACCTTGGCATGACACCCCATGAAAACAATGCTTGTCCCCTCCTGGCCCCCTGGTACATTTGTTCTAGAACCGCCACTGATCCTAGGCCTCGGTGCCATCATGGTGTGTTTTACGCCTATCTGATCTCTTTGTCTTGAAACCAAACCTTATACGGTCGTTTCTACTTCACAATAAATAGCCTGCAGTTAAAAAGTCCAGACCTAGAGCTGCTCGTTTGTCTCTAAGTGAATCCTTTGTTGTGTTTGATTTACAGGATGAAACTTTGAAAGCACTGGGTGAAAAGGTGACAGACGTTCATGCCAGCTGCGTGGGAAACGGGAGGACTGACCTCAGCACCTTGGAGAAGTTGGCAGACATCGAGAACTTCCTCTCATCGCTGCTGCAGAATCTGGAAAGCCTGCCTGCAAAACAACTGGCGATGGTTAAGAAGCTGAAGGACAGCGAGAAGAGGAACAGGTATCCCTGAGCAAATATGATGCGTACCAGTAGGAATACAGATGTTTAAACCTAATTAAAACTAAAACAATTAATCAGATTAATCGATTGTTTAAATTATCCTCAACTAATTTAGTAATCGACGGATCGGTAAATGGGGTGTGAAGACTCTAAAACATGCCTTTAGCTGACGGAGCCACCCACTTATAGCAGTGACTATACCAAAATTGAAAAGAAAAAAAAAAAATCAACCATGCACGCACACACTCACACCTAAGGAGGATTTAGAGAAGCTAATTACCCAACAGTCACGCTTTTCAACTTTTCGATGAAGCCGGAGTACCCGAAGAGAACCTACACATGCTCAGGGAGAACATTCAAACTCCGTGCAGAAAGACCCTGGACTGGGAGTCAAACCCGGAACCTTCTGGCTGCAAGGCAGCAGTGCTACCCCCTGTTCGCTGGTGAAGATTCTCAGTCATCCAGGTTATAGTTATTCCAAAAAAGAAAACTAAAAACAATCCACTGGACTTTGTTCCAAGTTTGAAGAAGCTTTTTAAATTCAAAATGTCAGGAATAGCGTTAAGTTTGAGGTTTTATACAGTTGCCCAACAAAACCTTGTTTTTGTTTTTGAAAGCGTGCAAATTGAAACGGAAGAAGGGCTCCACCCCTTTGGAATGGAGGTCGTTTGGCTTATTTTGCTAGCCTGCAATGCCCCATACTGGTCTAAGAGTCTGAAAGATCAGTCCTGCTCTCTCCTGTACAGGGGGTGGGGCTGCGATGATAGCGAGAAGTGATTAACTCTATCGCTGCATTTTATGGTTTTTTAAATCTGAAACCTGATTCCACCCCCTCTGTTTAAAGGTTGTTTTTTCTCAACATAGATGGCTTCCTTCCTCTCAAACCACCTATTTTCTTTTTCCAAAATGTGAACATTCTGGTCCTCAAAAGAATGTTCTTTGTCCATAAGGTGTAGATGGACCGCAGAGTCTTCTCCCGAGGAGGTTGATCTTCTGTTTTGGGCCATGCATCTGTGAAGAGGTTGTTTGGTTTCTCTGTTCCACTGACCAGCCGCAAATATTTTGCATTGTAGATAAAAATCTTAATCTGTCAATATGCTCTATCTAGAACTCCTCAAGTTGAAAAGTTTTAGTTTCACCTGGTTTCATTTAGCAAAAATCTGTTCTTTAAGTTTGAGTTTATAATCAAAAAATAATCAACAGATTGATTTGAAACATAATTTTTATTTGCAGCCCCAAACGTAATGCAACATGCAGTGTTTAGACCCTTTTTTCTCACCCGATGATGCAGGATGCGTGAGGAAAAGCTGATGGAGCAGAGAGAGAAACAAAAGGAAAGGATGAGGAGGTATCTGGAGAGATCCTTGGCCGACTCCAACAAGAGAGTATGTCCTTATATCGGAATAATATCTAAACTTCTTCATTTTCCAATAATCAAAATAATATTGCTGTCATATGAAATCTACCTTTTGACAAACCTTACAAACATTTATGAAACTGAAGTTCCTGACGATGTTTTTACCCATTTCACAGAGGGGGAAGAAGCTGATGCCGAGATACATGCCTGTTGTCAGGAGAGCTGAGGTCCCCAAAGTGGTTGAGGCAGCGGCGGAGGATGACTTCAGTGAATTCCTCTCCACATCTGACGACACGGAGTAACAAAACAAAGACAAAGAGATGCAGAGGAACTTTTTCTGCAGAGACAGGAAAAGGATTTCCTTTAGAAAATGATCCTGAAGTTTTGTCAGACTCAAGCAGTTTAATATCTAATATTTTCATTTACAGATGTTTCATATTAAAGGTATGGAGGAAGATCTTTTATTTCCAGGTGGATCATTTAAATAAGGGGTCGTCCTAATTGTCAATCATTCAGGTTTACATAAGGCCGTCCTACGTACTTGTTCCGTTAGCTATCTTTTTGTGCAAATGCGCACTTTCAGCCGTATATCTGTGGAGAGCTACGGTTTTAGTCATTGAAGCTCACCTTTTCACCACGGTTCTTTAAAAATGTCTGAGGGTCGAAGAGAAAAAGTGTCTAAGAAGTGTATGAGAAGAAAAGAAAGACCTCACAAGGGGCAGAATTATTTGCGCGGAGAGCTCTCCTCTCAAAGTATTATGAGATCTGCTGTCAAAGCGGCCCACTGTCACCATAGGCTGTCGCTATCCGACAGTGGCGACTAATAATAAGGATGACGCAGGCACCGCGTAGTGAAGGAGGAGTGATGTGACCAATGGGGAGCAAAAAGCAGTGATCATCTGTCTGAACGGTCAGTTAACTGAGTTTGCTAGAAAGCCAACTATATAATCCCTGCTGTATGTGGACACAGTAAGCTCATATTAGCTATGAGAGCAGCACATTTTGAACAAGGGCATGCACGAGGAGGAATGGGCTCATGCACACTCTTGATCACGCATTATTTTTAAAGTGGAGAGGGCAGGTCTTTTAAAAGATCCTCCACAATACCTTTAATGTGTTACTTTCATTGACACATTTATTCACTCTCCTTTCTTCTCTTTTTAAAATGAACAACTATTCCGTTACGTTCATCATCAGTGTGTCTTCTAGTGTTTCCTTTGAGATGGAGGTGCCTGCCTCCCCTGGGCCCTGGGGCCGGCCCCCTGGTGGCTGTAGTTGATCCGCTGCCCTGGTGCTGGTTTCTTAATTTGGTTCATCTATTCTCAGCCTTTTTATGAGCTTTTCTTCAGTCTGCCAATATCTCTGTTGGTCTGGCTGTGTGCTCACTGTGTATGTTTGTGAAGGGTGGATACGAGTGTTATTATGTATAGTCTATGTTGGATGGCCATTGGTAATATTTTTAATTATGGAAAGTAGTTTTAACTTAATTAAATATATTAAGGTGATTTAGAAATAA